AATAGCCGATAAAAACAAATAGGAAGCCAACCGCTGCTGACGAGCCAAAAGGCCCGGTATGGGGCAATGAAGCAAAGCATACCGAGCATCCCGGCGTATAGAGAGATGGAACAAAGTGAAAAGGAGGCCAAACACACGAGACCAAAAACGAACCAACCTCGGGCATGACCACCAGATATGCAGTACATCGCCGCGATGGCCACAACCCCGAAAACATCGATCACTACAGGCAGGGTTAGCTTGGGCCAGACGAGCTGGAACCCAGTACCAACGGAACAACACCTTGTAGGCTGCTTCCAGCGTGGTCGTATTAAATGAACATTTAGCTATGAGTGACCAGGCCCTACTCCAGTCCTCCGGATCCACAGCCACTCCCAGGTCGCGTTCCCACTGAAACAACATATGAAAGAGAAGTGTGAGACGAGTGTCTGTCTGTTCAAAGCTGCGTAAAGAAGGGAGATAAGGCCTGGGGCGCCCGCGTGCTGCTGGCAAAGCCGTTCAAAGGCAGATTTCTGATATGGGAAAGCAGAAGTGGCCCTCAGCGAAAGTAGCCAGTGCCGCAATTGAAGGTACCGAAAAAATTCCGCTGGGGGAACATCCCGAGACTCCCGAAGGACATTCCAGGTGTGGGAAAGGACCGAAAAGTCAAAAAGTGTTGCACCTGTGAGAAACCATGAGCCACCCACCAAGAGAATGCCCTCGGGTGATCTAGACCCGGTGGGAAAAGAGGGTTGTTAACAATTGGAAGCAAGGGCAAAAAGGGTGACATCAGGCCACTGGAGTAACGTACCGAGTCCCAGACTTGTAGGCCATGGAGCAACATCGGAATCAGCGCCATAGGGCGCAGGGCAGGGGGAAGCCATAGGAGTGTTGACAGTGCGATAGGGGCACAATTAGGTAGTTCCAGCAGGACCAGAGAGGAACATCGGAGGAAGCATGCAACATAGACAGCGGGGCAATCTGGCTCGCCTGATAATACTTAGTTACATTGGGTACCCCAAGACCACCCTGGAGTCTATGAGCAAAGAGCGTGTTTCTAGAGACTCTGGGGTGTTTATCGGCCCAAATAAAACGCATAAACTTCGCCTGAAGCAACCGAAGAAAGTGAGGAGGAACCTGCACAGGGAGGGTGCGAAAATAATATAACAATTTCGGCAAAATGGTCATTTTCACTGAATGAACCCGTCCTATCCAAGACAGGTGCGGAAATTGCCAGGAATGCATAAGAGAAGATAAAGAGCTAAGCAAAGGATAATAATTTGCAGCAAAAAGGGAGTCATAGGTGGGGGTCAAGCGGATGCCCAAGTATTCCAGAGAAGAGGAAGCCCACCCGGTAAGGGAAGTGGGATTGTAGGCGCGAAACCAAATCTGAAGCCAAAGTAATATTGAGAGCGACGGTTTTTATCAAATTGATACGTAGACCCGAAATCAAGGAGAAGCGCTCAAGAACTAGTTGCAAGTTAGGAAGCGTCGTCAGAGGATTAGTAAGGGTCAAGAGGGCATCGTCCGCAAAGAGGCTCAGCTTAAACTCCTGTCCCGCCATATGGAACCCCCGATATATTGCAATCGGTCCGGAGCGCTAAAGCCAGTGGCTCAAGCGCCAGGACAAAGAGCGCCGGGGACAGCGGGCAACCCTGCCTCGTCCCTCGCCCAACAGGAAAGGGATCCGAGAAATACCCAGCGTATTTAACGGAGGCCGAAGGAAAGGAATACAAGGCCTGAATCCAAGAGAGGATAGAATCCCCGAAACCCCAACGAGACAGCACAAACCGCAGATATTCCCAAGATAGAGAATCAAAAGCTTTATATATGTCCAAGGACAGTAGGAATCCTGGGATTTTCCGTTGTTGCAGAAAATGTATAAGATGGACCACCTTACGGACGTTATCACCCGCCTGCCTCCCAGGGACGAAAACCCTACTTGGTCCCTATGGACCAAGCTACACAAATATTTATTGATGCGAAAACTAAGGATCTTGCCCAATATCTTCAGGTCTTTATTAAGAAGAGAAATGGGCCGGAAGGCTTGCGGTTCCTGGACATCGTCGGTCGTCTTAGGAATCATAGAGATATGTGCCCTAAGTGCATCCGGAGAGGGCAAAGAGCCCTGTCGTAACTCATTGAAATAGGCCGCTAAAAAAGGGCGCCAATAGGGCTGAGAATTTTTTATAATAGAGACCGGAGAAGCCGTCGGGACCTGGGGCCATGGTGGACCGTAAAGATTTGATCGCTTGGAGCACTTCCGGTACGGTGACACCAGCATTGAGGGCCGCCTGTGCTGCCTCGGTTAATCCGGGAAGATGGAGGTCTTGAAAGAATGCCTCTGCCTGGCCACAGGGAAAGGATCTGGGGCAGCATAGAGGCGCGAAAGGGTAAGCCCGAGGATCGGGAAACAATTCTGCTGGGGTTAGAAGTACAGCCACCTGTGGAAAGTCGAAGTCGAATTGGTTTATGGGGCTTCCCCACAGAACTGAGTTTCCTGGCTAGCATGGGGAACCGGGCTTTATTAGCGCAGGAATAAAATTTATGTCTGGTCCAACGCAGGGCCGTTCCGCCTCCGAAGAGGCGAGGAGGTCCAATTTCTGTCGCCAGAGCGTCCCGAGCGCGTTTATGGGCCACGGATGGAGATGACTTCCAACGTGCATCTGCAGAGGCCAGGAGAGAATGAAGCTCAAGAGTCGGCGTTCCCGCTCCCGCTTCCGGACCGCAGCCAGCTGTATAACATGACCCCGCATCGTGGCCTTATGCGCTTCCCAAAGGGGCACTGCTGAAGAGACCGATCCCGAGTTTTCCGCAAAGTATGTCCGTAAAAAGAATTCTATTTGTTGGCAGGTAGCTGAGTGGTCAGCAAAGAGTCATTGATGCGCCAATGAAAAGGGCGCCGTTCTGACCCAGAAAGGGCAAGGAGGAGTACCAAGGGATCATGATCTGACCAGGGTGAGGAAGGAAATAGTTATCCGCCGGACCGAGGGGAGCTGCTGGACCTGCATGAATATATGATCAATTCTACAAAAACTATCATGGGGATTGGAATAGAACGTAAAGTCGCGTTCAGTTGGATGAAGTTCCCTCCAGACGTCCGCTAGCCCCGCCGTCCGCAAAAGAGAGCGCATACGTTCCTCTAACACCAAGTCATGAGAGGGGGTCGCTCCCCCGGTGCGTAGCGCCTATCCAATGTGGAATCCAAGGTAACATTCAAATCCCCCATAACAAGAAGAAGACCCTTAGGATGTCGAGAAACAATGGTGCAAAGATAAGAAAAGAATTTATGCTGGAAACGGTTAGGCGCGTAGTAAGAGACAAAGGTAACCTCCTGGTCCCAGAGGGTGCCTTGCAGAAGCAAATACCTGCCCGTGGGGTCCGCTATATGCCTAGAACAGACAAAGGGGAGATTGCGTTTTTAAAAGCTATAAGAACACCCCGACGCTTCTCAGAAGCCGAGGCCGTGTAAAAGATGGGATAGTGAGGTGAAAGATAACGCGGAGCGGAGGACTGAGAGAACCTGGTCTCCTGTAGACATACCACATCAATTTGTTGCGATTTGAGGTGATGAAAAACTTTAGCCCGTTTCTGAGGCGAATTGAAGCCTTGAACATTTTGTGAATGTATTTTCAAAAGGGGCGAGGCCATGGCGGTATCAACGCAACACGCTCAGCAGAAAAAAGCCCAAAGCAGCCAGCAATCTCCACTCCCAATGGCGATCGGACCATGGCGTCCCAGAACCCTGCAGAAAACAAAAAACGAAAAAAAACAGAGAAAAAGAAAAGAACAAAGAAAGAAAAAAGGAAAAAAAAAAGACATAAAAAAGTATACATAACAGTGCAATTGTGTCACACAATGGTGACGCGCATCTACACATGAAGGATACAATTAGGGGTAACTCTACCACCAAACACATGGCTGCAAATGAAAACATCAAAACTGAAGCCCTCAGAGGGCAAAAAAGCAAAAAACATAATATAATGTAATAAAACGTAATGAAACTAAAAGTCCCAGGAGCAGGAACCTCCGCGATAACCTCCCCATAGGAACCCAGAGAACCATAGGAGCCAACCCCCTTCCCACCCAACCAGGCCCACCGGGTCAACCTCCCACCCCGGGGCCCGAAGGAGCAGTACCAACCCGAAATGCAAACAAACTGGGGGAGCCCAAGGGCCAAACTCACGGTCCCGTCAGAGAGTTCATCGGTGAGATAATAGATGGGAAATTCAGGACGCGTATCTTCAGCCCGGAGAAGAACAGGAAGGACTTGATCGCGAAGGTGTCTGAGAAAGGGCCCTCTTCCTATTGGACGACCGCTCCCAGATGCGGCTCGGAGGAAGCGGCCTTGCCGGTGATCCAGATGAATGAACTGGGCTCCGATCCGCAGCCTTCCGGCGGAAAGAAGGTGTAAGGATTCCCAGGAGAGAGTGAGCCTCCTCTGGTGTAGCCACAGAGTGACTGCGGCCCCGGTAGGTGAAGGTGAGGCGGAACGGAAAGCCCCAGGCGTATTTAATACTATGTTTCACCAGGGACCGAAGTAAAGGGCTTCAACTGGCGGCGCTTTTGTAGAGTGGTCTGGGAGAGGTCCGCAAAGAGCTGATAGCGATGCCCCTGGAAGCTGAGATCAGGTTTATTTCTGGCCGCCAAGAGGATGGTTTCCTTAGTGCGGTAATAAGTGAACTTGATGATAATGTCTCTCGAGGGCCCATCCGGTCGTCTGGGGCCCAAGGCACGATGTATGCGATCAAATTCAAGACGGTCAATGGGAATGGCGGGCGTCAGCTCCTGGAACAGCAGTAGCAGTGGAGGTAAGATCGTAACCGTTTCCGGGATACCCCTTAACCGCAAATTGCCACGGCGGGAACGATTTTCAAAATCCTCAAGCCGTAGCAGCGTGTCCGCCAATTCTTTCTTGAGGTCGCATAAATCCTGCTCGTGATTTTCAAGGACCGTAGCCGCAGCATCCATTTTATCTTCGAGGTTCGCTCGTCCGGCTGCCCAACTCCCGAATTTCCCGTGAGAGACGGTCGGCCAGCTTGGAGGTGGCGGAGGACAATTCTGATTGTAACATAAACTGGAAGCGGCGCAGGAGCTCAGCATCCCGCAGAGATGGCATGGGAGACTGCTGGGGTGGCTCCAATGGCATGGGAGACTGCTGGGATGGGTCCTCCACACTGCCATGATCCGACCCACCTGCAGATGGTGATGGCATGGGACCCAAAATTGCGGCTGGGGCTCCATTTAAGGTCCCGGGCGGGAGCCGCGAATCCACGGCCGGGGTCCTGGAAGTGGTCGGCGGCCGGCCCAAAATCGAGGCCGCGGCTTCAGCCGCGACCTCCGGCGGGTAGGCCGCAAACTCCGGCGCCGCCCGCCGGGAGCTGGAGGCACGGGCGGCCGGCGTTTTTTTGCCCATCGGGGCACCAGGGTAGCAAGGGGGCCAGAGAAGGAGCAGGGGGACCCCCCCTGAGGGACAGAAATCGGCCGATGTGTCCGGCGGCCACAGCACAGATCTAAAAGGCAACCATCCTGGTTGCTGCTCACGAGCGCCCCCCCGGCTACTCTACTTTTAATTGTTCATTTGGTGTATCACTGGCTTCTGGAGAGATCCCACCTTCAACCGGGTCACCAGCAGGAGGAACAAGCAGGAACACCCCTTAGTGTCGTTCCACTCTGGGCTTGCTTGCTACTTACTTCTGGTGAGTGTGCATTATGGTGGAGGTGGAGGTGCAGTGCGGAAGTCACAGAAGTCATTACATTTTGTTGATTTGATCACATCACTATTTTTTTTGGGATTACCGTATTTTCCGGCGTATAAGACGACTTTTTACCCCTTGAAAAATCTTCTCAAAAGTCGAGAGTCGTATACGGCATGCTGACACTTTTTTGGGGGCTGCGCGGTGCCACCGCACGGCTGCTTGGCTCCGCCTCCTCACCGGTGATTGGCCGCCAGAACTGTAGCTCAGGAAAGGCACACAGGCGGCCAATCACCGGCGAGGAGGCGGAGCTGAGCGGCCCCACGAAAATCGAGTGAAGGAGTGGCCAGTAAGTGTGCCGTGCAGAGGTGCTGCTGCAACCACATATGCTGGCTGCAGCAGCACCATACTGGAACAGGGGTCAGCAAGTGTCATTGGTGTCAGTGGGAGGAATAGTGCCCTATCATTGGTGTCACTGATACCAATGATGGGGCATTATATTCCTCCCACTGACACCAACGATGGGGCACTTTTCCTCCCCCCCACTGACACCAACGATGGGGCACTTTTCCTCCCAACCACTGACACCAACGATGGGGCACTATTCCTCCCCCCCCCACTGACAACAACGATGGGGCACTATTCCACCCCCCATTGACACCAATGATGGAAGACTATTCCTTCCCCCACTGACACCAATTATAGGATACTATTCCTCCCACTGACACCAATGTTGGGACACTATTCCTCCCAGTGACACCAATGTTGGGACACTATTCCTGCCACTGATACCAATGATGGGGCACGATTCCTCCCACTGACACCAATGATGGGGCGCTATTCCTCCTACTGACACCAATGATGGGACACTATTCCTCTCACTAATACCAATGATGGGGCACTATTCCTCCCATTGACACCAATGATGGGACACTATACCTCCCACTGATACCAATGATGGGGCACTATTCCTCCCTCTAATACCAATGATGGGACACTATTCCTCCCACTGACACCAATGATGGGGCACGATTCCTCCCCACTGGTGTGCATTGGAAGAGGGGTAGTCTTATACGGCGAGTATAGCCCAAACACTATATTTTAACAGGAAAAGTAGGGGGTCGTCTTATACGCCAGAAAATACGGTATTATAATATTTAGAGGACTTATATATTTTCATTTGTAATACCGTTCATTTGGTTTCTTCATTGAAGTATTCACTATTCTCTATTTCTTTTTTATGATGTTTCCTTTCTCTTTTACTATCACACTGGTCATCATTGATTATAACACACATTTTTATTAGCGCTGCACATTTATATTATAGTAGTGCGCTATGTACAGAGTGCAGAGTTCAGGAGTGCGCTATGTACAGAGTTCAGGAGTGCGCTATGTACAGAGTTCAGGAATGCACTATGTACAGAGTGCAGAGTTCAGGAGTGCGCTATGTACAGAGTTCAGGAGTGCGCTATGTACAGAGTGCAGAGTTCAGGAGTGCGCTATGTACAGGGTGCAGAGTTCAGTAGTGCGTTATGCACTGGGTACAGAGTTCAGTAGTGTGCTATTTACAGAGTACAAAGTTCAGGAGTGCACTATGTACAGGGTGCAGGACTCAGGTGTGTGCTATGTACAGAGCGAAGAGGTCAGGAGTGTGCTATGTACAGGGTACAGAGTTTAGGACCTCACTACATACAGAGTGCAGAATTCAGGAGTGAACTATATACAGAATGCAGAGTCCAGGAGTGTGCTATGTACAGGGTGCAGAGTTCAAGAATTATCTATGTACAGGGTGCACAGTTCAGGAGTGCACTACGCACAGAGTACATATAAAAAATCAACAGTGCAGTGCTGGTTACATAAATAACCAATAATGACAATTGATATAACTTAGAAATGACAAGTATAGAACGTGTCCAAACATAAACAAATGAAAAAGCTCAACCAGTGCATACATAAAAAAATAAAAGAAGAAATGGCTTTTCCTTTTCTTTTTTTTGAGACTTTTCGCTAGGTACAATTGGCAGAGCTTAGGAGTGCACTACATATAGGGCTCAAGGCTCAGAAGTGTGCCAAGTACAGGGTGCAAGATTCAGGAGTGCACTACGTAAAGGGCGCAAGGCTCAGGAGGGCCCTATGTACAGCTATAACGTACAGTGGAAGTGTGCAGGCTGCAGGCACTTGCTTCAGCAGGAGCTGCCATATGGACACTAGGGTGGATGTGTACATCCCCTGCCCCCTCCCTCCTCTGCTCTCATAGGGATACTGCAGGGCAGGGCTCTATGCAATACCGGGAGAGGAGCTGGGTTTCTGTGCATGCAAGAGACAGTAGTGAGTGATGGACATGAGGCCAGAGGTAGAGGAATTCCATTCCAGCATGTTCTGGGTTAAAAAAAGCTCCAATAAATTATCTATTGGCACAGATGTAGCTCCCTGCCTCCCATGTGGTTCGCTCTGACCTATCTACAGTTTTCTCAGTCACCAAACAATAAGCTGTGCGTCACAGGATACAATGAGCTAATTTTGTCTCCACATTGCTTTGACAGATATTGTACATATTGACATAATGAGGAAAATGAAATAATTATTCTTGTACTTGAAAATAATATCCTTCTTGCATTCAGGACAAGATTGGCCAAAAGGTTAATGCATCATATTTTTTATATATAAGAAATAGGTAAATGCACTGCTTCCTTGATAGCTCTGTATCTCTCGAAGATCTAAGTCATAACTGGATACCATGTAATTTGCTAAAATACTGTGTAACACACTGCATTGTTACTTATTGCAGAGTGTTAGATGTTCACAAGATGGCAGTGTTCTGCAGTTCAGTTAGCACAGAGACTTGTATTGCAATGCTAAGAATGCTGGGACTTGTATACTGCAAACAGAAATTCTCCATTCAGTCTAGCTGGAATAGAACTACAGGTCCAAGGTGAACAAGGAAAGGGGTGGGAGGATATAAACCCAGGAATCCTCGGGGAGAGAGAAAGGCAGGACATGGTGAGGGCTGATCCAGGAGGCCTCAGACTGGATCATACTGTACTGGAAGGCAGACAAAAGGGATTTCCAGAATGCTGATTGTACTGAGAGGGGCAGGATAGTCGATCCTGCAGGCAGGCAGATCGGGACACCGCCACCAGCACCACTACCGTCCCGGGGGGACAGTGAGAACAGAGGCCTCCAACAGCAAGGCCACTGTTTCGTACAGTTATATTGAAGTCCAGGATTCTTACAACATACACTGCCACATAAAGACACAGACTCTGCAGCCCAATCAGTGATGCTGCCTACTTACACCAGGTGCCCATCTAAGTACTGCACACAGTATATCAGCCTTAAAGTGTTACTAAACCCAGGACCCTGTATTCACTATATCTGGTCTCCCACAGTACACAGAACATGGCAGTGCAATTATTTTAGTAAATATAAACTGCTAAATACCTTTTCTCATCAGCAGTTAGAGCAGTCTTGTGACTTCTATCAGTGTTCAACAGAGCACATGTTAAAGCTTACAAACAATAAAGTAGGGGTGCCACCTCCAAATTAGTACCATAAATAAAGAGAAGCTGCCTTTAAAAGTGAAAAAACGCTATAATCATAAATCTAAAAAAGAAAGAAAAAGGTGCTACTCATAACAATATTGAAGTGATTAACAAAAACACTAGAAACATAAACATATAATGATTAAACTGTGTCAAATCAAGTTATAAAGTATCCAATAAAGTTATAAAGTGTCCAAAAAAAGGAAGTCCATATATTATTTCCACGAAGAGTTAGCCTTCCACACACAGTGTCCAAAAGAATCAGTAATAACTCACCAGATATAAGATGTTAAAAGGCGAAATGAAGTCCACTATATCAAAATAGCCCACTCAACCCAACTCTTCACAGTCTTCCACACAGTAGGCTTTTGCAGTCAGGATGAAACAGTACAAACACTCAGAAGAAAAAGATGTACTATAGTGTAGCAAGTTTTAATAAAATCCACATGAATATAAAAGTAAATATTGCACTCACATATTACCGTGCCCAAACAGCACCTCCAAAAGGCAGAAGCAGATACTCCACACTGCCGCTCTATCAACCTGAATTGGCATGCCTTCCACGACTAGAATCCGTCACTGGAAGTGACGTGTAGAAGGACCGTAAGTGATGACAGATGGCTGGGTCTCAATGCATTTCGCAAATAGCGTCATCAGCTATCTTTAGAAATCTTTTATACTTAACCATCCCAACAAGCAGGAGGGGTTTTATTTACATAATACCCAAAAAGATACCAATAGAGCATGGCTGATAGCATCTCGTCCCCCCATTAATATACACACATAGACATCATCCTAATAAAAACATTATAACGATCAGGACCCGGAACTCACGATTCCAGGTCACATGATCGCTGTGATAGCCTCTGATTGGCTATCACAGTGATCAGTCACTGTACAGCCCGGCCCCCTTGTTTTTTTTCTCTCTCTATGAATGGAGAAGAGAGATACATTGTATCTCTCTAACTCCTGGCATAGAGAGAAAAAAAATGTTTGTAAAAAAATAAATAAATAAATATTAAAAAATAAAAGAAAAAATAAAGAAAAATACCTAGATCAAGGTTTGATCTATTTTAGTGCCAGGGTTAGTGTTTGGGTCAAGGCCAGG